CACACACACACACACACCTTTAGTTGTGAGTCGGTGGTCAGCTTGCAACTAGGGGCACCGACAAACACACACTCCCCTAGTTGCAAGTCGATGGTTGACATGCAACTGGGGACCCTCGATAAACACACACACACACACACACATCCCTCGATAAACAAAAAAGTATGAAAAGACATGGACATGCCTGGTTCATGGACCGATAAATAAGACAATACACGAAAGCAAACATGGCACATGTTGGGCATAGCACGAATCTTAGCAGGGTCATCCAACGGTGGGAAACTAGAATGTGCAATTGCTAAATCTCATCTAGATGAGAATTAGCAAATCACAAAAAGAAATATCACAACTCGCAACAACACAATGATACAACACACACGACCAGAGGAACACAAACATGAAATGCGGCTCGTTAGGGGGACAATCAACTGAGGTAGAAAAGAAAGTCGAGCCTAGTTGTGAGCCAAAGGGTGGACTTGTAAACTGGGGCAAAAATGATCAAAGAGCTCAGTTGCATGTCAATGGTAGATTTGCAACTAGCAAAAAAATGGTCAGCCTAGTTGCGAGTCGATGATGGATTTGCAACATGGATAAAAAGGAGTTGAGCTGAGTTGTGAGACGATGATCAACTTTACTTGGATTAAAACCATCAGTTGAGAGTTAAGGGTGTACTTGCAGCTGGGACAAAAAAGATCACCGGCACAGTTGCATGTTAGTGATGGACATGCAACTGGGACGAAAAAAAGGATCGAACCCAATTGTGAGTCGTTGGTTGACTTGCAACTTTGGCAAAAAACAATGATCAAGAGCCTAGTTATGAGTTGACCCAATTGCGAGTCGTTGGTTGACTTGCAACAGGATAATAAGAAAGGGATAGGCCTAGTTGTGAGTCACAGGTTGACTTGCAAACTGGTACAAAAAAGTTAGCCCCTAGTTGCGAGTGGATGGTGGACTTGCAGCTGAGGCAAAAAAAGTCAGACCTAGTTACAAGTTGAGGGTGGATTTGCAACTAATGCAAAAAAGGAGAGTTGGGCCCAGTTGTGATACAAATGAAATATCGAGCCCAGTTGCGAGTCGAGGGTTGACTTGCAATTGGGTCAAAAATGCCGGGCCCAGTTGCAAGTCAAGGCTAGACTTGCAACTTGGACCAAAAAAGTTCAAGAGCCGAGTTGCATGCCAATGCTGGACTTGCAACTAGAAAAAAAAATTGTCACACATAGTTGTGGGTCATTGGTTGACTTGCAATTGCAACAAAGAAAGATCAAGTGTCCAGTTGTGAGTCGACGGTTGACTTGCAACTGCAAGAAAAAAAAGTTGGGCCCCTAGTTGCTAGTTGATGATGGACTTGCAACTGAGTCTAAAAAGTCAGACATGGTTGCATGGTGAGTGGACTCGCAACTAATGCAAAAAAAGAGTCAACCCTAGTTGTGATACAAACGAAACATCAGACACAGTTGCGAGTCGAGTGTGGACTTGCAACTGCAAACAAAAAAAGTTCGGACCCAACTGCAAGTTAATAGTGGACATGCAACTGAGTCGAAAAAAGGTTGGTCCAATTGCAAGCTAAGGGTGAAATTGCAACTAAGACAAAAAAAGTGTCGCACGAAAAAGGATGTCGGCTATAATGAAAGACAAAGGGAAAATGGAGAGAGAAGGAATGAAAAGAGGCAAGGAAACCGCAAAATGGAGGCGATCCTAGAGGCAACCAATATAGCACCCTATTTGTTCTGCTTATATAAAACATGCCAATAACAAACGACAAAAAACACATGAAAATTGCCAGAAAAAACAAAAATAGAGGTCGAACAAAAATGGCCTAACAAAAACCGTCCGACAACTAGACATCGCGACGACATGTGATGTGCGCGACAAAAAAGAAGCGGGGACAAATTTGCGCAAAAGATTACAACAAATAAATTGAACGGGCCATAACTTAGATAAGACATTGTTAAAATCTGAATGAAATTGTCTCGCAACAAAAATCTTCATGAAATTTAGCAAATCTGATTTCAAAACTGTTCAAATATTTTTAAAATGTTCATGAATTTTAGAAAAGATTTTTTCTGGAAGTGTTCACAAAAAACAGTAAATTTTAGTAAGTATCCACCCACTTCAAAAAGTGCCTCACATGCAAGATCATGAATTATAAAAAAAATCTAAAGTGGAAGAATAAAAGCGAGACAACAAGAAGTGAGATGCGAAATGTATGGGCGATAGAAACCAATAGCCTCGTTGAATTGTTACAATGCAGTTAGAAAAGACAAAAGCAACAATGAAAAACAGGCTGGCCCGTGCAACGCGCGACCGGACCAAAAAAAAAACAAGCAACGATCGAGTGACAGCTATGTGCGCGAGCGACACGGGACACGCCGGTGGGATGCAAATCAACCCTGAAGGATAATTACAGCAGAATAGATCTAACGGTTAAAAACTTAGATGTGACATACTTAAAAAACATCTAGATGCGTCTTAGCAATTCCGTTACTATTATTAGATGTCTGAAGATGCTGCTGATCCTGTTCGGGTTAATTCCTTTGCATGTTTTATAGTTTGGTTTTGGGATGGGTTTTTGCTGAACCAGGAGTAGCTCACCACAAACCTACTTCAAGTCTTCCAAGAAAAATGAAAACCGCGTCAAAGAAAAAAGAAAATCCACCAGCTCAGACACTAGCTGGGCCGGGCGCATACCAAGTTCGGTAACTGACGAACAGCAAACACAGAAATGCAATCCTCTGAAGACGCCGAAAGCAGAGAAATAACAACAAAATCGATCGCAAAAGTTTGAACTATATCGCCGACTTCTCTATTTTCTTTTTGAAAATCTTTCCCCTCCACTCTCCCAAAGTAAGTCACGCGAATTGCAACTCGAGAGAATCAATCAATCAATCAAAAAATGAATGAAGGAGATGAAGAATAAGGGCCTCCGTCGGAGTTGCGTTTTGAACTGAATGCGTGACAGGCTCGGCCGGACTGCGCGTTCCCGCCGCGTTGCGTTGGGTCATGGTCTCATGGATGGACTCCGGGGAGAACTCGGAGGCGTGAGGGACCGCCGCGTTGCGTCGACGCCATGATAGAGCTCCGCATTTCGAATCCGACTCGCGACGAACTCGCAGGCGTGCGTGGCCGCCACGCAGTCACGCGGCGATATTATGCCCCCCGCCCCGGCTGATTCGATCGCAGTCTTCCTCCACCTCCTCCTCCCTCCACATCGTACGCACGCGGACGCGCTCTGGTTGTAGATCCCGCCGGCCAACTCCAGACGGTGACCATGGCGCTCGCATCCGGGTTCTGCCCGCCGCCGTCCTACACCCCGGGTGCGTCCCAGCGCGGCCCCTTCTTCCTGGGCTTCGGCTTCGGCGGCGAGTGCTGCAACCCGTCGTTTGCCGGCTACTACGACCACGAGGAGTACGCCCCGTCGGGCCCTTCGCCGCTCACGATCTACAAGGACTACACTCCGGGGAGCCCGGACCACACTCCCGCGAGCCCCGACTACACGCCGGCGAGCCCCGACTACACTCCATCAAGCCCAGACTATACTCTGGCGAGCCCCGACTACACTCCGGCGAGTCCGGACTACACTCCGGCGAGCCCTTCGCGGTCGCTGGAGTACACTTCGTCGAGCCCTGTTCGGCTCGCTTTCATGATGCCGTCTCCTCCGCGCGGCGCGTCCCCAGACTACACGCCCCTGACGCCGTCAGAGCACGCTGCTTCATCACCTTACTATACTCCGTTGAGTCCTTCCGGTCCCGGGCGCGCTTCCTCGCCGGATTACACGCCCAGCACGCCGCCTCCGTCGCCTCTGGTGGTGTCTGACGCCGAGTCGTGCGCGTCGACGTATTACACACCGTCAACTCCTTCCAGGCGCGCCGAGTCGCCGGACTACACGCCCAGTACGCCGCCTCCATCGCCCCTGGCGTCAGAAGCAGACTCGACCACGTCTACAGCGCGCTGCCGCCACCATCCGTACCAGAGGAGCGGCGCCGGCCGGATCAGGCGCGGCGGACGTCAGCGAGCCTGGGGATATTGATATCTCGTAAATTGTAATAGGAGCAAAACAGATTGGATTCTCTCTGTGTAAATCTCGAATTGCTATGCATTTGTTTGTTCCTTAGGCAAATCTTGTAGTATTACTTACGAATCGATGAATATTATCTGAATCGAGCTTTTGTTGAACATGCGAGATTGTTCTCAGTTATTGCTTCTCATTTTTTTTATTTTGGCTGGATCTCTCTGTTTCTCATCATCGATGCGAATTGCAATTGCCTATTTGATTTGATGAAAATCACCTAGACACCCAGCAATTGTCATGTTCTGTGATTGTGATGTACTGATGTCTGAGAGAAGTATTTTTATGGTTGCTCTCTGAAATTGAAGGTTGTCGCCTGAACATTTTTCTGAAAACAGAGCATGTCGCCGGGAAGCAGTCTGCCGCTCAAATAGTTATTTTTTCTACTTATTACATGGCTCCGATAGCTCTTGGATTTATGCAATAATGGATTGGACATGTCAAAATTGTGCTTGTTTGAAATGTGTGCCCGTTCTGTATAGCATGACATGTCCGATCTCGAAATAGGTCTCCCGCTGAGCTGAAGTACACACCCATGGAGGCCAAGCGCCAGTTGAGACACTCAACAACCCGATGCCCAATTAGCAAACTACGAAGATTGTGGGCATTCATATCACAAGGATGTTTGAGTTTTTCCACATATGATGTGCGATTTTAGGTGATTGGAATTTACAAATATTCCGTGCTGAAATTCAGCAGGACTGGAAAATAATACACTGTACTATTGTTTCAGCCTACGTATCAACCTTTTTCGCCGTGTGCTAGACTACTAGAAGTCGTCAGTAAGGAGGGTGATGTTGGTTGGGAATTCTAGTGTTACTTACTCAGGGCCCGAAAGCCATAGTTATATAGTATGGTTCACCTGTCACCTGTGTTGACATTGATCGTGAGATGAACACCGACTTGCTCGCCATTGGCAGGGCTTCGATCTTCATTTCCAGGAACAAAAGAATAGCGCTAGTGAGTAGCGACTTTGGTGAGTGACAAGATTTGTACTACGAATCAGTTTTGACTTGTAACAAAAGGAAATTTGTTTGCTCCATCCATGATTGGTTTTATCAGGTGCTGGGATTTTGTTTTAGAATGATGTATATCACTGTGCATTAGTGACAATGATCGTGAGATGAACACCGACTTGCTCGCCATTGGCAGGGCTTCGATCTTCATTTCCAGGAACGAAAGAATAGCGCTAGTGAGTAGCGACTTTGGTGAGTGACAAGATTTGTACTACGAATCAGTTTTGACTTGTAACAAAAGGAAATTTGTTTGCTCCATCCATGATTGGTTTTATCAGGTGCTGGGATTTTGTTTTAGAATGATGTATATCACTGTGCATTAGTGACAATGATCGTGAGATGAACACCGACTTGCTCGCCATTGGCAGGGCTTCGATCTTCATTTCCAGGAACAAAAGAATAGCGCTAGTGAGTAGCGACTTTGGTGAGTGACAAGATTTGTACTACGAATCAGTTTTGACTTGTAACAAAAGGAAATTTGTTTGCTCCATCCATGATTGGTTTTATCAGGTGCTGGGATTTTGTTTTAGAATGATGTATATCACTGTGCATTAGTGACAATGATCGTGAGATGAACACCGACTTGCTCGCCATTGGCAGGGCTTCGATCTTCATTTCCAGGAAC